GCCGCCGCTCGGGCCCACCTTGCCACAAGACGGGATGGTGCAGCAGCAGCAGCAGCAGCAGCAGCAGGCGCAGCAGGCGCAGCAGGCGCAGCTGGCACAGCAGCATGGACAGCATCCGTCTGGCGCGTTGGCCAGCATCTGGGCTTCATCGCAGGCACCGGCTTTCGACGAATCGCACCGCCTGTCTGGGCTCCAGCAGGGGTTCCCGCCCCAGCAGGTACAGCAGCTGGACCAGCAGAGAAACCTGCAGGATTCTAGCCACTTTGCGCAGCTCCAGGCGGGGCGCCTCGGTGCGCCTGCGGCGCAGTTGCAGCCATCTGAGGCGGCCTCCATGAGTGTGCTTGGTGGTGGTTATCAGAGCGGGTTGGCGGGACAGCAGCAGCCGCAGCAGCAGCAGCAAGGGGGACTGCCACCCGGCTTTTCACCCGGAGCCGAGGTGCTGCAGGCGGGACAGCTGGCGTCCCTGTCCGCCTGGATGCAGCAGCAGAGGCCGGCGGCGCCCCACTTGCCGCCGCCATCGCTTGCAGTGCCGGGTGGCGCGTATGGAGGGCCCCCTGGCGTGCTCAGTGGCCTGGGGCCCCTGCCCCCTGCTCCTGGCGTTAGGGGTAGCCTCACAGGTGGGCCGCTGAGCCCTGGCAGCATGTTCCCTGCCCAGCAGCAGCCAGACCCTGGCGGGCTGTTTGGGCAGCAACATCATCACCAGCAGCAGCACCAGCAGCAGCAACAGCCTCCACAGCAGCAGGCGGGCCTTTTAGGCTTCTTTCAGCAGCACCAACAACAGCAGCACCAACAACAACAGGCGCAGCTGCAGCAGCAGGAGCGGCAGCCGCAGCAGCAACAGCCGCAGCAGCTGCCGCCGGCAGCCTGGCCACCAGGATTTGGGCCCCCACCAGCGAGGCAGCAGCAACAGCAACAGCAGCAGCAGCAGCCACAGCAGCGCGTGCCCACTCCCGACCCCCTCGCCGCACGTGCCAGCCTCGAACATGTGCAGGGCTCATCGTTGCTGCAGCAGCTGCAGGCCAAGGGGGCGCTGTACCAGCCTGCAGGTGGGCCGCAGGCACCTTCTCAGACACAGCAACACCAATCGTCGTTGGGCGCGCGTTCGCAGCTGCAGCAGACCGCAGACCAGCTCATGGCACGGCTGCACGCGGGGCAGTATCACCAGCAGCAGCAGCAGCAGCAGCAACAGCAGCAGCAGCAGCAGCAGCAACAGCAGCAGCAGCAGCAGCAGCAGCAGGCGCAGCTGCAGCAGGCGCAGCAGCAGCAACAGCAGCAGCAGCAGCAGCTTGCGGCGCTGGCGCGGCTTCACCCAAATGCTGCGGAGCAGCTGGCACTCCAGCTGGGCAGCCTGCAGCTGCAGCGCATCCAGCAGATGCAGCAGGTGCAGCAGAGTCAACAACTGCAGGCCGCCGTGCAGCAGGTGCAGCATCAGGCGCAGCAGGCACAGCAGCAGCAGCAGCAACAGCAGCAGCAGCAGCAGCAGCAGCAACGGCACCAGCAGCAGCAGCAGCAGCAACAGGGGCCACCCCAGCTGTCCGCCGAGGACGTGCTGCGGTCGCTCTTCGCGCCTGCGCCGCAGGCGCCACCAGGACCCGCGCGCCACCCTCCGCCGCCGCAGCTGCCCCCGCTGCGGTGCGATCTGGGGGTTCTTGACCTGGAGCTGCGGCAGCTGGCGGCCTCCCTCGTGCCACCAGAGGAGGAGGTCGCGCGGCACAGGTAGGACTGACAGAGGGGCGGCAGCGCGGGAGGGCAGCAACAAAGGCGATTTCAGAACATGGTCGGGGCGATGGAATGCCAAATGCACACTCTGGTCAGTCTCTTTTCCCTGCCCTCCAACACGCTGCGGTCACCGCCCAGCTGCGGTGCCCCACCACACGCTTGGGCCTTAGGGACGCCGCTGGGTCAGCCTGGCAGCGTCCTGTGCCCCGTTAACACAGCGCCAGCCGACCAACCAGGCATGGCCATGGGCACAGCCCTGCCGTCCCCCGCACCCCCACCCCTCCCACCCTCAATCCCCCGCTGTCGCCCCAGGTCCGCGTTCCAGGGGCTGTCGTCGCTGCTGCGCGCCCGCTGGCCGGGCTGCGGCGTGTCTGTGTTTGGCAGCGCCGCCAATGCCCTGGGCATAAGGGACAACAACGACATCGACGTCTCCCTGTCCCTGCCCGGCCTGGAGGATACGCGAGAGGCAAAGGGTGGGCGGGGCTCCGGGCCACGCGGCCGGCGAGAGCAGCCGGCTGCCCTGCTCTGCTCCCGGATGCTGGAGGGAGGGGCGGGCAGGGGGCGCTGCGGCGGCTCGCGCGGCCGCCCGGGAGCCCGGCAAGCGGCCTGGCGGGCAGCCCTTTGTTATGCGGCGGCGTCGAGCTCGTGATCTGCTGCGACCGCCCCCGGGCCCGCCGCTGAGACGCCGGAATCGTCGCCGCTGCGCCCGCTGTGCCCGCCGCGCCCTCTGCGCCCAACGCCCGCACCGCGCGCGCCGCGCCCATTGTGCCCGCTGTGCCCGCTGTGCCCGCCGCGCCCGGCAGGCGAGGTGGTTGAGGAGCTGGAGCGGCTGCTGTCCGGGGCGGCGGACGTGGTGGGGGACGTGTTTGCCATCCCGCGCGCGCGCATCCCCGTCATCAAGTTCCTCTGGAAGCCGACAGGCACCAAGGTGGGGCGGGGGGTGGGCGGGGCTGGCTGGCGCCGGAGCGGGGT